GGATAAAATAGCGTTATTAGTGTTAGAAATAGATACCAGGATCCAAGTAACCCTTTCGTAAAGGTAAAAGGAAGTTCACTTGAATCTCAACGTTACCTACACAAGGCCCAAACTCCAAAGACTCGGACCAAGTCTTTCCACGCCTCAATCGTCACCTTCCACATTTGGAGCCACGGCTTTGGACCCTACTATTTTTTTTTTGTTAGTTAGATAGATTTTAGTTAGTTGGTTGAATATATAGTATTTTCCACTTTTACAACGTACATACGCACACACAACTTCTTTGGTTATATTTTATCAAAAAGATAATTGTTTTTTTTTAACCATGATTCTCTCTAAAAGTTTATCATTATGGTCTATTTTATGCATACTCTCTTTACTAAATAGCTTAGTATTTATATTAGCATTACCTGTCAAAAAACGTGCTTACGTTCCAGAAATAAAAACTTTTTATCTTCATCTTTACAAAGCAAAACTTTCACCAGATGGATTTGAACGTGTTGTTTGGACTGTGAATGGTTTATACCTTTTTAGAATTGAAATATAAAAGTTTTTTTTTTTAACTTATCAAAGTTTATTAAATATTTTGCTTAAATAAATAAATAAATAAATCACAGGAACATACCCTGGACCAACATTTGTTGTAACAAAAGGCGATAGACTTGTAATCCATTTTATCAATAATTTAGGAGTACCAACATCGGTAAGTTAATATCTTATCTTCAATTAATCATCTAACTTTTTAAACCATTATTAAGAGAACAAAATTGTTTTTTGTATTTAGATTCATTATCATGGATTTTTTCAAAGGGAACTAATTGGTATGATGGAGTTCCAGGACAAACGCAATGTCCAATACCCAATAATACAACATTTATCTACAATTTTACTGTTCCAGATCAAAGTGGCACTTTTTGGTAGTAAGTATCCAAAAGTTATACTATTTACTTTAGATCTTGTAAACTTTATCTCTAACTATAGTTAAAGTCATAGTCAACATTTGGCACAGTACGTTGACGGTGTTCTAGGTGCCATCATCGTCAAAGATCCTGATGATCCATATCAAAATGACTATGACGAAGAAATAGTGATTCTTCTGTCGGATTGGTATCATAATGAAACATTCACTTTATTAAGTTATTATTTGTCTCCAGCAAGTAAGGGATTAGAACCTCGACCGGATAATGGATTAATTAACGGAAGGAATAATTATAATTGTAAATGGGCACCTGTCTCTTATAAATGCATTGATAATGCTGGTCTTTCAAATTTTAATTTCGTTCCTGGAAAGAGATATCGTTTGAGAATCATAAATACTAGGTGATTTTAAAATCCAAATTTCTGATAAATTAAATAATATTAAACGTATTAAAAATTAAAAATTTTATAACTTATATAGCGCACTTTTAAGTTTTACATTTTCAATTGATGAACACACAAT